CTCCGCGCCGTCTCCCATTTTCTGTAAAGATGTCACCTTGGACCCTTTCTTCGACTCTTCCTCCATAAAAGCTTCCACCTTTTTCACTTTTTCAGTCGGGGATATGACATTGGTGATTAATTATATAACTTATCAAAATCTACTAGTACAGTATCTCGTACAATGCACAGGTGGACATTTTTACGGCTATTTATCTAATCTTATTATTATATTTGTCAATAAAAAAATTAAATAAATAGAATAAAAAATAACAAAGAAATAAATAGCTCGCTAAAATTGCCGTTATTTGAGAAATAGCTTTTTTTAGCAGGCTACCGCTATTTGTATTCATGTGCAATTTAGCCGCTAAATCTCTGCTATAGCTCCGCTATAGCTACAGTGCCATAAACATTTTAGTCCGTTATTTAAAACCTTGAAAAATAATATTATATATTATATATCATTAAAATCTTCCTTATAGAAATGTCGTTACAAAAAATAAATTAAATCGAGACCACTGATTATACAAATAAAAAATTGACCAGAGGATTTTCTATATAAAAAAAAAGAGACACGGACATTATATCAAATAATTCGTTTATATTATTTTGTCAAGTTAGTTTAATTTCATTAGGGTAATTTCATACAAAAAGTTGAAAATAAAACTGAAACTCATGCAAAAAAAAAAAAAAAANNNNAAAAAAAAAAAAACCAATATGTTGGTCTGCATATTTCAGACAAAAGTATTTCATATATTGATTGATTTCCCAATAAATTTTCTAAAAAAAAAAAACCAATAAAGTATTTCGAACTGAAAAGGGTATTTTTAGCTAGCTGGATTGCTAATTTTTTAATTAAAGAATTAACTTATTTTTTTATAAGGTTAAGACCGAAATTTAATTTCTTAATAATTCAATTTTGCTAATTAGTTTTGTTAAAGAATAATGTTAAATTAAAACAGAAATATGTTTCCATATTAATTAAAAAGTTCTAAAAAAATAAGCATTAAATATGGAAATGCGGCTAAGAAATCTGTTTCTATATTAATTAAAGAGTTCCAAAAAAACATAAGCATTATATATGGAAATTTCGGCTAATATATTTCCGAAATTAGTAAATATGAATTTTTGGTGGGAAATAGTTACTATTTTAAAAATAATCAAACCTTTTTATATAGATATAGATTAAATATAGAATGTTGATAAATAAGTCTAACAATATATGTATGGTTATTCAATTTTTTTTCATAAATATTATTATTAGCATTTTATATTTTTCATATATTATTGTTTAATTGAAAAAAATAGTATATAAGTACATAAAATATACTATGCAATCTAACAGTTATTAATGTGCAATTCTTCCAACACTATGGTGCACGATGTCGGTCTGTATTGTACATATCGAACCAACCGAACGCTTGTACCAAGTCAAATTGAAAATGAACATAATTAATTAATATATTCGGTTTGGTTAACCGAATTTGTTATTGTGTATATTTGTGTATTTACTATATTAGCCTTAGGTTATCTTTAAGTAATTGTAGCTCTAATTTTGTGTATATATTCATGGTTAACAGAGAGTTGTATCATCCCATTGAAATGAACTTTCCCTCATATTATATCTCGTCTCTCTCATATAAAGGTACAAGAGCCGATCTTTCATGATCCTTTGTTTAACCCAGATTTTTTTTTTTTTTTAATAATATGGTGTCTGTTAGCATAGGTGTTAGCATAGGAAATATCTTATATTTATATTTACTTTATTTAAGTAGGATATCTTGTTTTCCAAGTTAACTAGCCCTAGACTTTGTATATTTATGTCCTCTTATTCTGTACATCACGAGAGATGATCAATATATACAAAAATATTTGTTCTTCTATTTGTTCTGTCATGGTATCAGAGAGGATCCTCTGAGCCGCCATCACTCACGTTTTTTTTTCTTCCATGGGCGATTCTTCTCAAACCGGCGAGGGCTCCTCGTCAACGGCTTCTTCTTACAAATCAATTTCTCCTTACGATATTACTTCAAGCGATAATCCTGGTTGTGTTATTTCTCAAGTTCTCCTTACCAATACTAATTATCTTGAATGGTCTGCGGCTCTCCGGAGGGCACTATGGGCTCGCAAGAAATTTGGTTTCTTGGACGGATCTATTTCTAAACCACAGGGGGGTTCTTCGCTTTTAACGGATTGGTATGTCAATAATTTTATGCTCGTTTCTTGGATCATGAATACTATCGATGCTTCGATCCGTTCTTCTATCCCAAATATCGAAATCGCTCAACAATTATGGCCGCACATTCGTGATCGATTTTCTGTGGTTAATGGCACTCGGATTCAGCAGTTGAAAGGAGAACTCGCTACCACGTATCAAAAGGGTATGACAATTAGCGCGTATTATGGCAAACTTCGTACACTGTGGGATGAACTGTACGCATATGATCGTCCGGTGGCTTGTCGTTGCGGTAAGTGTACCTGTCCTCTTGCGGCTGAACATGAAAGGCGTCAGGACAATGAACAATGTCATCAATTTCTTCTTAACCTAGATGCTGAGGTCTTTGGGGCTGCTCGATCTCACATCCTTGCTCAAGAACCTTTGCCAAATCTCCACCGGGCGTACTCTGTGATGATTCAATAAGAACGTTTGGCGGCTGCTGCTCATTTGAAGCCTGCTCCCTCACCTACTGTCGATGTCCATTCTTTTGCGGCTGCGGCTCGTTTGAAGCCGTCGGGTCCTGCCCGACCTGCTACTTCTTCCGGCGTCTCATGCAGCGTTTGCGGGCGGACGGGACATGATTCTACCCGATGCTTCAAGGTGGTTCCTTGTCCTCATTGCAGCCGGACCGGTCACAATCCTAAACAATGCTACGAATTGGTCGGCTATCCCGGATCATCTTCGTCTTCTGCCGGCCGTGGTTCAACCGCTGTGGGTGCCGGTCGTGGTCTACCTCCCATTGCCGGTCGCGGTCGTGGTCGTGGCACACCACAGGTGCAGGCCAATGCCACTGGCGCTCTACCCGTGGGTTTTCCGGCGAATAATGTCTCTCCGCCCGGTTCGGCTACCTCGCTTGCGACCACTAGTATTTCTCCTGACCAATGGTCCGCCTTGCTAAGCTTAGTCCAATCTCACACTACCGCTGGTTCTGGTGCTTTGACGGGTAAACCTCATTCTCATATGTGGATGTACTATTGTGGCGCCACACATCATATGACGGGTTTTTCTGAATTTCTTGTTGATGTTTGTGATATTGAGTCTCGACCAGTGCAGCTTCCTAATGGACAATTTACCTTTGCTACGAAGGCTGGCACAGTTCATCTTACTCCTACTGTGATTTTATTTAATGTTCTTCTTGTGCCCAATTTAAAATGCAACCTTATATCTTTGTATCACTTATTGGATGATTTGGGGTGTGTTGCCCATTTTACGAATTTGAATTGTGTTGTCCAGGACCGTGCTACGAGGATGGTGATTGGAATGGGTGAGCAAATGGGGGGATTGTACTTCTTTCGGGATCCGTCCGCGGCGGTTATGGCAACAGTGTGTGGCTCAGCGGACCTGTGGCATCAACGACTGGGTCATCCGTCTTTGAAGGTTCTTGGAAAGATGTCTAATATTACCCTGGTTCTTTTCGTAGCTTTGAAAATAAATCTTGTGCTGTTTGTCTTCGTGCAAAACATTCTAGAGATAGTTTTTCTGTTAGTGACAGTCGTGCTTTGGAACCTTTTGGCTTGATACATTGTGATTTATGGGGCCCTTATCGTGTCCCCTCCTTCTCTGGAGCTCGTTATTTTTTGACTATTGTTGATGATTATTCTCGAGCTGTGTGGCTCTATTTACTTAATGATAAAGTCTCAGTTTCTGCTACATTGCTTGCTTTCTTTGCAATGGTTCATCGTCAATTTAATAAGTTGGTCAAAGTTGTGCGCAGTGATAATGGGATCGAATTCTTGTGTCTGAGTTCTTATTTTCGTGAGCATGGTATTATTCATGAAACTTCTTGTGTGGGTACTCCTCAACAAAATGGCCGTGTTGAACGCAAACATCGCCATATTCTCAATGTGGTGCGTGCTTTACGTTTTCAAGCCAATTTGCCCGTCGAGTTCTGGGGACATTGTGTTTTGACCGCTGGATATTTAATTAATCGTACGCCCACTGACGTACTACATGGAAAGAGTCCTCATGAGGTTCTGTTTGGTACTTCTCCCTCTCTTGATCATTTACGTGTGTTTGGCTGCTTATGTTATGTTTATAATATGGCTGTGAACGGTGATAAGTTCTCTAGTCAAAGTCGTCGTTGTGTGTTTGTTGGTTATCCATTTGGCAAGAAGGGTTGGTCCGTATATGATCTTGAGACGAAGATTTTTTTTGTTTCTCGTGATGTTAAGTTTTGTGAAGATGAGTTTCCTTTTTCTTCTGTGATGGTTACGCCTACATCAACTCCTTTGCCTGCTATGTCTACTTCTCCTTGGCCTCCTAATGATGAATCAGATGACACTATCTCTCCAACTCCTCCCTCGACTTCCGTTCCCCTATCCTCGTCGGAGGTTCCTGCAGACAGGGGGGGTTCTACTCCCGCTCCTGAGGTTCTTGGCCGCGGTCACCGTACCAAATATCCGTCTGTTCGGCTCCGAGATCATGTCACCAATACTATAGTCTCTCCCCCCATTGCTCGCTCACCTGCATCTCCACCATCCTCAGGTACTCCTTATCCTTTAGCTCATTATGTCAATTGTTCCTCATTCTCACATGCCCATCAAGTTTTCTTGGCAGCGGTTCAGTCCTCTGTTGAGCCTCGCTCCTTTGCTGAGGCCATGACTGATCCTAATTGGCAGACTGCGATGCAGCTTGAGATTCAGGCTCTTCAGAACAACAACACTTGGTCTTTGGTTCGCCTTCCTCCAGGCAAAAAGGCGATTGGTTGTAAGTGGGTATATCGGGTTAAGCATCGCTTTGATGGATCTGTTGAACGGTATAAGGCTCGTCTTGTGATTTTAGGCAATCATCAGGTGGAGGGCATTGACTACACTGAGACGTTTGCTCCGGTTGCCAAAATGGTCACTGTTCGTACTTTTCTGGCTGTTGCTGCTGCCCGCAACTGGGAGCTTCATCAGATGGATGTTCATAATGCTTTTCTTCATGGAGATCTTCAAGAGGAGGTTTACATGAAGTTGCCTCCTGGGTTTCGCAGTGGTTCTCGAGATCTCGTTTGCCGTTTACGAAGGTCTCTGTATGGTCTTAAACAGGCTCCTCGTTGTTGGTTTGCCAAGCTGACGACTGCTTTACAACAGTATGGTTTTACTCAGTCTCACGCTGACTATTCTTTATTTTCTTTGAGTCGGGATTCCTGCTGTTTGCACGTTCTTGTTTATGTGGATGATTTGATTATCTCCGGGAGTGATTCTGCTGCTATTACTGTCTTCAAGGATTATTTATCCTCTTGTTTTCACATGAAGGATTTGGGGGTCCTAAAGTATTTTCTTGGCTTGGAGGTGGCTCGTAATTCTACGGGCATTTTTTTGTGTCAGCGCAAATATGCTTTGGACATCATTTCTGAAGTTGGTTTCTTAGGGGCCAAGCCGGCTTCCTTTCCTTTGGACCAGAATCATCAGCTTTCGCTTGCTTCCGGGCCCCCTCTTCCTGATCCCGAGCAGTATCGGCGTCTTATTGGGCGTCTTATTTACTTGGCTGTCACTCGTCCTGATTTATCCTATTCTGTGCATGTGTTGTCCCAATTTATGCACAATCCTTTGCAGGCACATTGGGAGGCTGCTCTTCGCGTTGTTCGTTACTTAAAGGGCAATCCTGGACAAGGAATCTTCTTTCATGCTTCCTCTGATTTACGCCTTTCTGCTTGGTGTGATTCTGATTGGGCGGGTTGTCCTCTTACTCGTCGGTCTCTTACTGGCTGGATTATTCAGCTGGGTCCTTCCACTGTTTCTTGGAAGACCAAGAAGCAGCATACCGTTTCTCGCTCTTCTGCTGAGGCTGAATATCGCTCTATGGCATCAACTACATGTGAATTGAAGTGGTTAAAGTCTCTTTTGACTTCTCTTGGTGTTGACCATTCTCTTCCCATTCCTCTTCATTGTGATAGTAAGGCTGCTTTGCACATTGCTTCCAATCCCGTTTTTCATGAGCGCACAAAGCATATTGAGATTGACTGTCATTTCATTCGCGATGAGTTGGTGAAGGGTACTGTTGCTCCGGTTTATGTTTCTACGAAGGTCCAGCTTGCTGATATTTTCACCAAGGCTTTAGGTGCTAAAGAATTTGACTCCTTTCTTCGCAAGTTGGCCATTTCGAATCCGCATGCTCCAACTTGAGGGGGGGTGTTAGCATAGGAAATATTTTATATTTATATTTACTTTATTTAAGTAGGATATCTTGTTGTCCAAGTTAACTAGCCCCAGACTTTGTATATTTATGTCCTCTTATTCTGTACATCACGAGAGATGATCAATATATACAAAAATATTTGTTCTTCTATTTGTTCTGTCAGTGTCTTCAATTTCCCATTTGGGAAGAGATTTTGCTTCAGTTTCTCGTATTGATTATTGCGATTTTGCGCATTTGAATTGATTTTGAGAATTTACCAAGGTTACAGTTGGTGTTTCGTTGGGTTGGTGCGTTTATGAAATAACTAGTATTGTGGCCCGTGCAAATGCACGGAACTATTCTACATAAATGAAATAAAGAAACATAAATAGAATAAGTAATTTTTATAAATTAAATAGATTACTATAAACAACGTTTATATTTGTATATTCTATTTCTTATCATATATCAAAAGAGCCTACATTACATCCCTAGAAGTCCTCTTGATTCATTGTTTCACGAACTTGATTGCTTTAGAGTAAAAGTTAGATGATAGGCAAACTTATGATTGATTTGATTGACGACTAACATGAGTGCAGCTATCTTATATTTGCAAAAGAGACTGAGTGAGACATATGATACATTTTCGTACTCGGGAGTATTTGTTTTTCGAAATAACCAAGTTAATAGTTGAGGTGTACTATTATGATCATTAGAATTCTACTCGACTTGATTGACTGGTTTGAGATTAGTCTTGCTTGAAACTGTGTCCATGCTCATTTGTTTCTTTTCTTTTCTTTACTTCTCTTTGTTCGGGACGAACAAAGGTCTTAGTATGGGGGAGTTGTTTGTCCCATTTTTGTTGTTATTTCGTTAGTATTTTGTGTGTTGTTTCCCTCGATTTAGGTCTTTTCTTAGGTATTTCCGATCACTATTGTCGTTTCTTGCGTTTTTATCTTTATTTTCGTGTGTTTAGTATTTTCTTTGTTTTTCCTCCTATTTTTCTCGTGTTTTCGGTTTTTTTTTTCCGGTTGTGGTGGTTTTCAGGTTGCAGATGATGAAAGCGATATGCGGTTCTGGTTCCTAGGAGTTCCACACTGGTTCGTACGACTTAAGCACGCTGAGATTGAGTTTATAGCTCGGGCAGTACCCGAGAAATGCTAGACGAGAGCTCACGAGTTCAAAACTTGGAAATTTTGGAAGCTGCCCAGGATATAGCGCTGGCGCTATGGCCAACCCAGCTAGCGGTGCTACACAGCATAGCAATGGGCAGCAGCTCGAGGTTTTCAGCCATAGCGGCGCTAACTGAAGCGATTTTCTCGGAATTTCGAATGGCAGGGTTTAAGGATCAATTTTGGGACGGATTTTAGAGATTCCAGACATCGTTTTCATAGTTTTTCACTACCAAAAACATATTTTTTTCTTCTTGGTTTAGCTTGGATTGAATTGTGGAGAGTAAAAACTCCTTTTCTAGCTTTTGGATTTGGATTTCTCGTTGCTTTTTCGATATTGGATATATATTAATTGTAAGCACTCCTTTTCTTATTTTGATATGATGATGTTTGCTTGGGTTGATGAATATTTTCGTGTTGATCTCACAATAAGTTAGGGATATGGGATGATTGTTTCAGTTCGTTTTTTGGTACGTGTTCAATAATTGCTCTATTTATGCAAGTTGATAATATTCTAAGGTTAGTTGTCTGATCCCCAATCTAACCTAATTAATCGACGTTTAGAACCGTGAAGGGAAACGTCGGTCGAACTAGGCTCGTTTGGAATAGACTTGTTCGTCATTGTATTGTCTATGTGTTGTTGGATTTGATGAGTTGCTCGTTTATGTTCACCTTCTTGTTACGAAGAGTTATTGAAGGTGAACCTCCATTCGAGTAGACGATTCAAACCCTTTAACCGAGCAATTGATTGCCCAGTAATTGAGTCAAGAACCGAAAATGATTGTCCATGACTCCCTAACTCTTTATAATCGAGTTTATTTGTTTGCTATTGAATTTTTAAATTACTAGTTTGCAAATTATTAGCTGCTAGTTGAAACTCAAAACAATCGAATTAGAGTGTTTAGGACTTGTTTTCTCACTTTGTGTGATTGGATATACGTGCAAAATAATCCGGCCAACCTTCCTTGATATACGACCCGGTGTTCGAATCCTTTGATTTAACTCTGGAAAAAAATACTTACAACATGTGTTGCAGAGGGCGGCGTGAGGTCTCTGCGTGAAGACGGCGGCGTACGCCATGAGGACGTCGGCGGC